CCCCTCTTCTTCTCCCCTCCCTCCTTCTCTCCCTTCCTAGAAAGGCTATTTCCTCTTAGGAAAATTTAAATACTAAAGGCCACATGTGACATAGAATGTTAGGTTTTATACCCTTATTTATTCTTGACTCAGTGAGTAGAAACACAATTGAAATACCAATTTATATTCTTTGGTTCTGCTTTTAAAAAAAGAAAATTGAGTTCATTATAATGTTACGTGGGATCAGGAATGTTGGTTCATGAATGATTATAGGTTCTCTCACATTGCTGTATCCATAGCTATTTCTTTTACTGTATTGTAGTTGACTTAGTGTGGGTCTCAGGAATGCTGGGATTATAAGAATAGAGCAGAGGGTTAGGAAACATCTAAATAAAGTTTTATTAGAACACACCCATTCATTTATGACTGTCTGTGGCTACTTTCATACTACACCTGCAGAGTTGAGTAAGTACGACAAAGAATCATCTGGCCTGCAAGGCCTAAAACATTTACTGTGTGATCCTTTATGGAAAAAGTTTTCTTCCCCTGAAATAGAGAGCTAAAGAACTTTCACCATATCTGATATGAACTGTCAGGTAATAAAAGGTCAAAGGGTATGAAAATTACTATTGAATGGGATGGTGACTGTTCTTGCTTTTACTAAGAAGGTAGGAAAATTGTTCAAATAAGTGGAAATATGAGCAACAAAGATTAGCTGTAGAAAAAATATTTTGAGTCGGCTGACAAACTGTCCTGGTTTGCCCAAGACATTCCTGGTTTTAGCATGAAAGTCTGAAGTCCTGGGAAACCCCTTAATGCTGTGCACCACTCCATTGATTGAGTGGTGGCATGGTGTAATGGTTAAGACTCTTAGGTTTTCACTCTGGGCTGCCTGGGTTCCTAGCTCTGCCATAACCCCTGTTTCCTTGGATAAGTTTTTTATCCCCTTGGGATCAGCAACTTCTCATCTGTAAAGTATCTCCGATAAGTTGTCAAGATTAAATGAGTTAAAACATATACAGCTATTGTTGTGGACTGAATTGTGTCCCCAAAAAATGTGTGTCAACTTCGCTAGGCCATAATTCCCAGTATTGTATGGTTGTCCACCATTTTCTGTTCTGATATGATGATCCTTATCACATCACATGGGACCTCATGCCACCAAGAATGAAGAACCAGGAGGGGAACCTGTGCTTGCACTGAGAAGCTCCTAGACAGAGGAAGATTGATGACAAGGACCTTCCCCCAGAGCCAACAGAGAGTGAAAGCCTTCCCCTGGACTTGGAACCCTGAATTGTACTTTTAGCCTCCTAGGCTGTGAGAGAATAAACATCTATTTGTTAAAGACATCCACTTGTGGTATTTCTGTGATAGCAGCACTGGATGATTAAGACAGTTATCTAGTGCTGCTATCACAGAAATACCACAAGTGGATGGCTTTAACAAAGAGAAGTTTATTCTCTCACAGTCCATTTGGCTACAAGTCCAAATTCAGGACATCTGCTCCAAGAGAACACTTTCTCTGTCGGCTCTGGAGGAAGATCCATGTCGTCAATTTTCCTTTGGTCTGGGAGCTTCTCTGCACAGGAACCTCAGGTCCAAAGGACGCACTCTGCTCCCGGCACTGCTTTCTTGGTGGTATGAGGTTCCCAAGTGTCTCTGCTCGCTTCTCTCTTTTATATCTCAGAAGAGATTGGCTTCAAACACTGTCCAGTCTTGTATGCTCATCAGTATAACTGCTGTTAATCCATCTTATTACATCATAATGGTTGAATTTACAACACATAAGAAAAACACATCAGATTGCAAAAATGGTACACAATTATACAATACTGGGAATCATGACCCAGCCAAGTTGACAGATGTTTTTAGAGGACACAATTCAATGTATGACAGTAACTAAGACAGCTATATCAACTGTCATTTTTCTGGAATGATCTACATGTTTCTTTTTTTAAATTTTCTGACAGAAACAATATATGAAGGCACAGATGCTGGGAATAGGATGAGTTAAAGTTCAAAGGAGGAGCCTGGTTCTTTCAATCAGTAGTTCTCTAACGTTTTGCTCCCAGGACCTCTCAGTATTCTTTAGTTTTTAATTTATTGTATTTTTTGTTATTGTTGAGAATATACATGGCAGAACATAGACCAACTCAGCAGGTTCTACACGTACAATTCAATGACATTGATTACATTCTTCAAGTTATACAACTGTTCTCAACCTCCTTGTCTGAATTGCTCCTCCCCTGTTAAACTAAACTCACTGCCCGCTAAGTTTCCTATCTAATCTTTCAAGTTGCTGTTGTCAATTTGATGCCAGATAGGTAGTTCCTAAAAGACCGCAATGCTCAAGGCAAACATTCTTTACTACTAGTTAAACTAAACTGTTGTTTGGTTTAAAGAAGACTTGAGGGGATATTTTTGTTTTAAGGTTTAAAGATTATCTTAGGGCAATTGTTTTGAGGGCTCATCAAGCCTCTGTGGCTCCAGAAAGTCTGAGGGGAAAATGCAGAACAGAATCTCTCAATATTCTTAAACACATAGAGGACTCCAAAGAGCTTTTGTGTATGTACATTATAGCTATTGATGTTTACTATATTAGAAATTAAAATTGATGCATTTTAAAAAGGCTTGTTTAATTCATTTAAAAATAACTATAATAAATCCACTGCATATTACAATAAATACCATATTTCTATTTAAAAAACTATTTTTTTCTAAATAGAAAAATCAGTGAGAAGAGTGACACTGGTTTACATTTAATGTCTGATGTAGTAGAAGACAACTGGATTCTCATATCTGCTTCTGCATTCTGTTGGTTGAGCTGTTTCATGTCATGTAGCCTCTGCAAAACTCTTCTGTTTACTGGTGAGAAAATGAGGATAAAAAAGAGAATAACAGCTTAGTATTATTAATGAAAATCGGTTTGACCTCACAGACCCCTTGCAGGATCTTAGGGACCCCCACAGGGTCACCAGACTCCACTTTGTCTAAGCACCAGGTTTTCTGCGATTAACCTAGGATTCCCTAAGGGAACGACTAACTTCCCAATAAAAAGTGTGTTCTGTAAATTCTGCCTGAAGGGATTCGAGAATGTTCTTTGCTTTAAGTTAGTGTGTGTGTAGTGTGTGTAGTTAGCTTTGAACTCATTTGGGTCCAACAGCCTGTTCCTTCTTGGGGACTGCGGGGTCCACACTTGTCTTCTCCTGTCCTTCTGTTGACAGCTCTGGGCAGGTCTGCAGAGTTACTTGGGCTGGACTCAACGCAGCTTACGGACGCGCTGACCCAGAGATCAATGATCCTCAGGGGAGAAGAGATCCTTACGCCTCTCAATGTCCAACAGGTACACACACTTGGCCATAAACGCTGTTTTATTACATACTCCTGGGTTCTCACATCCACAGCTTTGATCAGAATAACTGCAACGAACCACTCAAATGAGTTTCTACAAACACATAAAAGAGGAGAAATATTAAGAAAGAACTGTAGACTGTTCTGAGATAACCCAGCCAATGAAATAAAAATAAATACTTGCATTATGTACAAGCCTCCTGTTTGTACCATGGAAGAATTATACTTAGGGATTGTAATGATGGTGATCAAGAAATAAACTGACCTACAGATAGCAAGGCATAATGGAATGTTATCCAAGTATTGGAAGGCATAGACAAAGTTGTCGAATAGCTTTCTGAGAGATACTGTAGTGAGGTGTTTACAAGGAAGAGTAGATTCCTGAGTTCGAGTCCTTACCTACTTATTACTGTCTGCTCTTGGAAAAAGAAGCCCTGGTGGTGCAGTGGTTGAGTGCTCATCTGCTAACCAAAAGTTCAGCAGTTCCAACCCACCAGCTGCTCCATGGGAGAAAAGACCTAGTGATCTGCTTCTGTAAAGATTACAGCCTAGAAACCCTATGTGGCGGTTCTACTCTGGCCTGTAGGGTCACTCTGAAGTGGAGTCCACTAGACGGCACTCAACGACAGTTCTTGGGAAGGTTATTCACTGTGCTTCGGTTTTCTCCTGTGTAAGACGAGAATAACTATCATCCCTACTTCACTGGGTTCTTGTAAGGATTAAAATATAAAAATAAATGCTAAGTACTGACTGTCCAACAGAGGAAGTGCTCAATAAACATTAGGTATAATATCCAATTTTTTTACTATTGATTTTAAAATTAAAATTATTATTATTGTTAATGGAATCATTACCACAGAATGGTGATTTATTTTTTCCTCTGCTACTGCTTTCAGCTAGTTTATATCTGCTACTCCTTCTAAGGAAGGTGCCCTGGTGGCACAGTGGTTAATGTGCTCGGCCACCAGCAAAAGGTTAACAGTTTGAACCCAGCGGTTGCTCCATGGAAGAAAGATGTGGCAGTCTGCTTCCGTAAATATTTACAGCCTTGGAAACCTTATAGGGCAATTCTGCTCTATCCTATAGAGTTGCTATGAGTTGGAATCAACTCAGTGGCAGTGGGTTTTTGGTATCCCTTCTGATACTTGCTTTAGGATCAGATAAGTAAAAACACTAACCATATCATGAGGAAAATTTTTATATGTCTTAAGTAGAATATAAGAAAATGCTGATAATGGGAAAAAAAAACAGACTTTAATTGTTTTAAACCGGATGAAAGAGGTACTGGTGTATATAGGTTCAGATACTTTCTTTCATATAACTCAGCCTATAAAGTTGGATTTGGAAGTTTGTTATTTAAAGGAATTCTTGGTGAATCTTACTATAAAGTAAATAAGCTAATTCCACTTGATCCTTTCTGTAGACATCTGTATTTTCCTAGATGGTATTGATTTTACCAGGAGCCCCTAGGTGGTGCAAACAATTTATGTGCTTGGCTGCTAACCAAGAGGTTGGAGGTTCAATTCCACCCAGAGGTACCTTGGAAGAAAGGCCTGGCAATCTAATTCTGAAAAATCAGCCATTGAAAACCCTATGGAGCAAAGTTCTACTCTGACACACATGGGGTGACCAGGAGTTAGAGACGACTCGACGGCAACTGGTTGTTACTGATTTTAACGTTGGGCACTCACCTGCTCCACGTGTTTAGTCCCCGTATCTCCCCGGTGGGGCCAGGATGGACTTGCGCCTGGATTGCCCACAGTCAACAGGGTCTGCGGGCTTCCCTCTCCCCTCAGGCAGTGGACAGCAGAGACTCGTTGGCCATGGCACTTTATGCACGATGCTTCGAGTGGGTGATTAAGAAGATCAACAGCAGAATCAAAGGCAAAGACGACTTTAAATCCATTGGCATTCTTGACATCTTTGGATTTGAAAACTTTGAGGTATGCTTCAGAAGAGAGGGGCGTTTGAATTCTTTTCTGTCCATTTATTAGCTGCTATTTGGCAAATCTCTGGAAATAAACATCAGTATTTTTCTCTGTGGATTTTTTTTACCTTTTCTTCGCATTTGTAAGTATTAGTGCGGGCGCTAAAAACACCTGTTGAATGTTTTCCCCCTTAGGTTAATCACTTTGAGCAGTTCAATATAAACTATGCAAATGAGAAACTTCAGGAATATTTCAACAAGCACATTTTTTCTTTAGAACAACTAGAATATAGCAGGTAGGCACTCATAGAATTCCATTTCAAAGTTTTTTTTTTAACCAAGAACCAAAGTAGGTAGTTTTAAACCTGCGTCTTAACCGAACTTCCCCTGTTTAATCTTTCTACAGAGAAGGATTAGTGTGGGAAGATATTGACTGGATAGACAATGGAGAATGCCTTGACTTGATTGAGAAGGTAACATATTGTGGAAGAATGGTTACAGTCCCTAGGGTGTCCAGCTGGGCTGATTCATATTTATGGGAACAGAATAGCTTGTGCAAACCCGAACATCAAAGATGTGAATGTTTAGAACACAGTGGACCATTTGGAAACATAACGTTAATGTGCAAGGTTGAATTTAAATACTTGGCCGCTTCGAACCTATTGTCTCGTTAGACTCAGTATTTTAGAATCAACAGTGTAAAAATTGACTTCACCTGGATTTTAACTTGGCCTCAGACGCCTTGCCAGCACCAGTACTAGGTTCGCCAGTTGTAAATGTTTTGTCCACAAATTGCAAGTAGCATTGATATTTTAATTCTTTAGTTTTCTTTATAGTGTGTCATCCTAAATTTTTCAGTCCAAGAAATTACCATGCCTCTTTTAACCACTTACTTGATAGAGAGTAGGTGGGAAAGGAGCTTTAAAATAGTTCGAAAGGCATACATTCAACTTTTTAAGTCATTCAACCTTTTTTTTTTTTTCCCTTTTCTAGAAACTTGGCCTACTGGCCCTTATCAATGAAGAAAGCCATTTCCCTCAAGCCACAGACAGCACCTTACTGGAGAAATTACACAATCAACATGCTGTATGTAAAACCCTGACGGTTCTTAATTATGTCTGAATAGCAAGTCTGTGGGTTAAGATTACATACAAGATAGTTCAGAGCTACTGGCCCCACTGTGCCTGCCACATTGAGATTTTCCACAAACCAAAGCTCTTCTCCCATTGCTAGAGCTGAAGTGAAGTAAGCCAATGGATTATATATGAGCCACTTGTCAGAATATGCTCAGATTTAGTTTATGAGTACAGAATTGAGAATTTTTGACCTACTGTAATGACACAGTCTGAAGTTCCATTGTTTTGATAAAACCATGTGTCTTGATAACATGATGAGTTTTGAAACTGTTTTCACAGACTGCTGTATTTAGTTTTCACTGCAGGCCAATGGAAACCCGCAAATGAAATAAGATATTTGTATTTGTTTTTAGAACAACCACTTTTATGTGAAGCCCAGAGTTGCCATCAACAATTTTGGAGTGAAACACTACGCTGGAGAGGTAACTTGTTATTAAGTTACTCTTTGAAATGTGCCCATTTGATAGAGAAATAGTAATTTCAGAAGCCAATTATAAATTTATTGAAATGATTTCGTGAAATGTGTCTAGCTTTTAAAGGGTTGTTCATGCCTGCAATTATTCTTTTGTTCAACTCTATCCTCTCTGTTTTATTTTTTAAAACTAGGTACACTATGATGTCCGGGGTTTCTTGGAGAAGAACAGAGATACCTTTAGAGACGACCTTCTCAACCTGCTAAGAGAAAGCCAGTAAGTCAGTTTTCTAAGAAGTCATTCCGAAAAACCAAACCCATCACCATCGAGTCAAATTCTGATTCATAGCCACCCTGTGTACAACAGAACGCAACACTGTCCAGTCCTGCGCCATCCTCATAGAAGTTGCTATGTTTGTGCCTGTTGTTGCAGCCACGGTATCAATCCATCTTGTTGAAGCTCTTCCTCTTTTTCGCTGATCCTCTGCTTTACCAAATGTGATGTCCTTTTCCAGGAACTGGTCCCTCCTGATAACGTCCAAAGTAAAGGAGAGAAAATCTCACCATCCTTGCTTGTAAGGAGCGTTCTGGCTATACTTTGTCTAAGACCAATTTGTTTGTTCTCTGCCAGTTTATGGCACCTTCAGTATTCTTCACCAGCACCACAATTCAAAGGCATCAGTTCTTCTTTGGTCTTCCTTATTCATTGTCCAGATTTCACATGCATATGAGACGATTGAAAATACCATGGCTTGGTCAGCCGCACCTTAGTCTTCAAAGTGACATCTTTGCTTTTTAACACTTCAAAGAGGTCTTTTCAGCAGATTTGCTCAGTGCAATGCGTCTTCTGATTTCCTGACTGCTGCTTCCATGGGTGTTGATTGTGGATCCAAGTAAAATGAAATCCTTGACAACTTCAGTGTTTTCTCCGTTTATCATGATGTTGCTTATTGGTCCAGTTGTGAGGATTTTTGTTTTCTTTATGTTGAGGTGTAATCCATAATGAGGGTTGTAGTCTTTGATCTTCATCAGTAAGTGCTTCAAGTCCTCTTTGATTTCAGCAAGCAAGATTGTGTCATCTGCATATTGAAGGTTGTTAATGAGTCTTCCTCCAATCCTGATGCTGTGTTCTTCTTCATATAGTCCAGCTTCTGGGATTATTTGCTCAGCATACAGATTGAGTGAAAGGATACAACCCAGATGCATACCTTTCCTGACTCTAAACTGCATAGTATCCCCTTGTTCTGTTCAAATTGTAAATTCACACCATCAAATCACTAGTTAAGGGAAACATGCAGAAGCTCTTAATGATTAGTTTAGCTATTTGTATATATTAAGCTGGGAGTCCGTAAGTGGTGCAAACAATTAACACATTTAGCTACTAATAGAAAAGTTGGAGGTTCGAGTCCACCCAGAGATGCCTTGTATAAAATGCCTGGCGATCTAGTTCCAAAAAAATCATTCATTGAAAACCCTATGGAGCACAATTCTACTCTGACACACATGGGGTTACCATGAGTCAGAGTCAACTTGACGGCAACTGTGTTTTTGTTTTTGTTTTAATATACTAAGCTAGTAAGCTTCCTGTTTTTCAGAGGTTTTGTGAGAGAAAGGGAGAAAAAATTCTTGCCTTGAAAACTGTCTTTCAATACTTGTGTCAGACCCAGTGTGAATCCATAACAAAAACAAAACATTTTAATATAGAAGGCCGGAGAGTCATGCAGTTGTTACAAGATGTATACTTTTATAAAGGTAAATACTACCCAGGTGTTCTCTGTGGGTTGGCAGTTGTGAACCAGGAAGCAGCCAGGTGTTCACCTTCTCTTTGGCAGGTGTGGATTTGGGGCATAGGGCATGGTATCTAAAGTATCAGCTTAGAAGCTCAGAATTTGAAGCTCCATCTTTAAATTCATTTTAACTGTTCTATGTGAAGATTTGGAGCCCTGGTGGCACAGTGGTCAAGAGCTCGGCTGCTAACCAAAACGTTGGCATTTCAATCCATCAGCCACTCCTTGGAAACCCTATGGGGCAGTTCTACTCTGTCTTATAGGGTCGCTAGGAGCCGGAATCGACTCAATGCAGTGGGTTTGGTTTTAGTTTTGGATATGAAGATTCATAAACCCTGTGGATCCCAGTTGTGCATGGGGTTACCGTGAGTCTGGACCGACTTGACAACAGATAACAACAACATGTGAAGATTCACTATTTATAACGTTGTCAGCTTTTTTTTTTTTTTTTTTTCTTTTCAAATGAGTTTTCAGGCCTGTGAGAAAATGATGTTTCAGGATCCCCATAGCTTGTTGTCTCTCAATTCAGCCTTGCGGTTATTATCTGAACTGACACGTCTAAATAAAAGCAGTGCATCGATCTTAAATAGAAGCACTTTCTTGAAGTGAAAAGAGCACAGGGCTGGAGATCAGCAAGACGGGATTTTGCTGGTTACCTCTGTCGTTAAGCGTTTCTGTGATGGGGGTACAGAACTTTCTATCTGCAGACTGTTTGCTTGGGCCACTCTCCCTCCCCTTTGACATCTGTGACATTTTAATGGAACCAAAACTTTTCTCCCAAGAGCTCAAAGCACAGTTAGAGAGCTTCAAAGAGTGAACGTTGTTAAATTGCACCCTAGAACAAAGATGAAAAGGGCTGGGCAGGGTGAGAAGTGACATTGCAGCCTCGGGGGCCATGCCTTCCCCGTCTTCCTGGTGACAGTGTGGCCACCAAAGCCCCACCCTCGACCCTCTAGCTCTATAGCCCATAATATCTTCCACGTGAGGAAGTGAAAAAGAAGCTGTGGGAAGCTTTTTGCTTTATTAGTAGTGGCAATGGATTTTTACAGAGCTTGATAACAACAACTGCTGTCACAACAGCATTCACTGTGCGCCGGGCACCATTTTCAACAGTTGCATGCATTTTCTCATTCATCCTCACTGCAGCCTTATTGGATACATTCTAAAATTATTCCCATTTCCCAGATGAGGAAAACTGAGGCCTAGAGAGAGGTCAAGCATCTTGCCCAAGTAATGCAGCTAGGAAGTGGTAGAGCCAGGATTTGAACCCTGGTTTGTCTCATGCCAGCGTAAACGGTCCTGGTTGGCGCTGCCCCATGTGTTATCTGGTTGGACCTCCACACCAGTTCTGTGAGACGGGCAAAACAAGTGATAGCTCCCTTCTAAAGGCGAAAGGAGCCCTGGTACCACAGTGGTTAAAGCGCTCAGCTGCTAACCAAAAAGTCGGCAGTTCGAACCCGCCGGCTGTTCCAAGGGAGAAAGATGTGGCAGTCTGCTTCCGTAAAGATTACAGCCTTGGAAACCCTATGGGACAGTTCTACTCTGTCCTGCAGGATCACTGAGTCAGAATTGACTTGATAGTAATGAGTTTAGTTTTTTTCTACAGGCGAGGAGACCAAGGCCACAGAAGATTAGGTAGTTCTCTAGAAAACAGCACTTCTAAGTGGGATGTCACCCCGAGTTACTTTCACCCCAAACCCCTGCTCTTCAGCCAGACTCCAGCGTTCCAGAGGCTTGGACATATTTCCAGTGCCTAAAGCTCTTTGGCAGTGGTTGGTTTGAAAGCTTTGAAACCTGTCTTGGCTCTTGCTGAGTATATTACTTCCAATTATTAGTGGGAAAATGCATTGTAATTACAGTCATCCAATATTTAATAATGGGGTGTGCACACCTCATGGGCCTGCCTCTTCTTCCTCTCGCAGATTCGACTTCATCTATGACCTATTTGAACATGTTTCAAGCCGCAACAACCAGGACACCCTGAAATGTGGAAGCAAACATCGGCGGCCCACAGTCAGCTCACAATTCAAGGTTAGTCTGCACTGCTGGCTTTGATGGAGCCATCTTTATTGTGACTTTAAGACGGAAAATAGGAGTTGGGTCTTCATGAGGTCTATGAGAGTATTTTGTTTTGTTTGCTTTTATATCATGCCTTTAAACCAGATAGTATGATAGAAATGAAATATATGTCTTTTTTCTGCCTTAGATGAAAATACGTAGATCTTTTTATTTTTTAATAAGAAATAGCTACTTATTATTCTAAGTTTGTGAAATAGCAATTCTTCTTAAGAAAGACTAGTTTGGCCATTTAGAGTCACTCTGATTTATATTTAGAGGCTCATGTGAAAATAGGGTCTGTTTCTTCCTCTGTCTGGATTTTTGCATTTTTCCCAGCTATGGTTACAATATCATAACTAGGAATAATGACTAAATGCCTGCTTAAATAAGATTGATGCTGGTTGCCCTGTCCAGATATCCAGAATTTAGGGAAAATAAGGAACATTTTTATCTGCATTTTACATGTGAAAGCATTTTATGTAGTTAGAGGTAGAGCACATGAAGACCATTTCCCTAACTTAACTGTTCTATTTTACCCCCAATTAACAAATCCTGATATGAAAGGGAAATGGAGGCTTGTCAGTCAGCAGACATGTATTAAATCTGCCCCCTGTGAAGTTTCTTCCATTAAGCTACTCTCTCTCTATGTGAGATCTGTCGTGCAGTGTAGTTGGAGATGAGCCGTCTGCACACCAACATGGTGGACAGCACCAGGTAATGCTGTATGACAGGCAGGTTCAGCCCACATAGAAGATAATAATAGCTACTGTTTGTAAATACTTATTATGTGCCAGACATTGGGCTGATCACTTTCTACACATCATCTTGTTCACTCCTCCCACAACCTTTTGAATACATATTATTGTTCCCATTTTACAGATGAGGAGACTGAGGTTCAGAGAAGTAGAGACCCACTCAATCCTCCTGAACAGTGAGGCTAGGATTTGAAACCTAGGTTTGTGTGACTCTGAAACCTAGGCTCTTAATCTCCCACTGGAGGCATTACATTTGCTTTTTCTAGAAAGTCATTGTTGTCTGGAGATAGATGTCTTGGAAGGCTTTCTGGACATGTGGGATTATATTGGACCTAGGAATCAAGGAAATGGAAAAGGGTGGTTAGGGCTTCCAGGTGGAGACAAGGGTAGAAGAAGGGGTCCTAAGACAGGGATATGCATCTTCTTGTCTCTGGTGATCTGTGAATAGTTAGGACCAGCTGTAAGAAATTGAGTTGGTACCACAATAGGAAGGGTCATGAGTGCTAGGATGTTTTGTCATCTGTGAGAAGGCCTCAAGTTTTCTGAGCAACGAGGTGACTAATCAACTTAGTGTTATAGACAATTATAGTTTCTTCAACAACAAAATTGTAAGAAGAGGGAAAACCAGTGGATTAAAAGAGACTTAGAAGATGTATCAACCAATCGCAATGCTATCAACCAGTCACAATGCCTTATTGCATTCTGATTCGAAGAACATAAAGTATGACATTTTAGACAGTTGGAAATCCTAATATTGATACTAAGGAATTACTGTTAAATTGTTTTAGGCATGATAATGATATTGTGGTTACACACATATAGTTTAAACTGTTTATCCTTTAACGATACACACATATACTGACGGATGAAATAATATGATATCTGGGATTTGCTTTTCTACAAGAGGTGGGGATGGTGTGTATGGAGAACAGGGTTGGATGAAATGAGATTAGCCGTGAGCTGAAGCTGATGTTGAAGGTGTGTTACACAGTTCTGCCTATTTTGCTAGATGGTAAAAATTCTCCATAATTAAAAACAATGAAAAAAAAAGAAGAGGAACGAAACTGGTATTACAGATGATTGATCTAGATTCTACAGGCATAGTGATTTGAAGATGAAAGTGAGAGATAGTGACTAAGAGACCAGGGGATTACCAGTATTTAAAAGCAAACAAACAAAAAAAGCCAGTTGCAGTAGAGTTGATTCTGACTCATAGCGACCCCATGTGTCAGAGTAGAATTGAGCTCCATAGGGTTTTCAGTGGCTGATTTTTTCAGACGTAGATCACCAGGCCTTTCTTCCTAGTTGCTTCTGGGTGCATTTGAACTGCCAACCTTTCCGCCAACCGCCACAGCTGAGCACCTTAACTATTTGACCACCCAGGGACTCTGAAGTAGTAGTATAGGCTGTCCTTTTGATGGAAATACTGAATTAGGAGTAGTAAGTACAGTGAGAGAGCGGACACTTCACAGTGTCTCTGTAGTAAACATTAAACACCCTGGGATTGTTTTTTTTGTTTATAGACAGAATGGTTTCTTGAAGTGGTACAAATACAAAGAAGTGATCAATGATATCTGTATATTATGAAATAATTTTAATTACAATTAATTGTAATGTCTTCTGCTTCATTTTATATCAGAATAACATAATTAAAAATAAAAAAAATTCATATTATTCCTGTGATTTATTTTGTTTTATTTTTCATGATTGTCGCCTTTGATAAGTGCCTCAGGTGCTGAGAAATTTCAAGAATGGCATAGTAAGAGACTAAATCAACATCTACTTTTTCCTTTCTATTAGGACTCGCTGCATTCCTTAATGGCAACGCTAAGCTCCTCTAATCCCTTCTTTGTCCGCTGTATCAAGCCAAACATGCAGAAGGTAAGATTTCTAACAGTCCTGAACTGAGGGTGTGTCTGTAAGGGCATAGCCTCCTGGGTGGTTACTCACAGATTTGGTTTCTCCTAAGTCCTTTCACTGTAGATGGTTGGAAAAGAATCTGGCATTATTGTAACCTGACATTAAATGAAGAAATTCCCTTTGTCACTTGGGCCTGTTAGTCTGCTTTTGAGTGATGTCATTAAGCTTTAGAGAAATCTATTGTAGAAAGAAACGTTGTGAAGCCTTCAAATTTTTTAGAGCATTCAGTACGAAATCCTTGGGTAAACTCCAGTGAGAAACCTAGAGAAAATAGTTGATGTGTTCTTTTTGTTTGTTTGTTTTTTGTGGTTGATTTTTTGTATATTTTATTTTGCTTTGCTTTGTTGTTAAATATGATGAGGAATGTATTCTAAGTAGTAACACTGAACTATAATATTTTAACTAGGTGGTTATAATTAATTAGAAAACTCACGTAAGGCTATTGTCGTTAAGTTTTGATGTCCATCTGGGCTCTGTGATTTTAGCTTTCTAATGCTGTGTCCTGATTGGAAACGTGTAAGTTTAAAAAGGAGAAATGATTTAAACACACAAAATCTAGTATTGGATATATGCAATTTGCTGAATCCAAGGCTAAATGGGCAAATAGCCTTAAAATGTTAGTGGTGTTGTTAGGTGCCTTAGGTGCCATTGAGCTGGTTCCGAGTCATCACGACTCTATAGGACAGAGAACTGCCCCATAGGGTTTCCGTGGAGCGGCTGGTGGATTTGAAATGCTGACCTTTTGGTTAGCAGTTGAGCTCTTAACCACACCACCACCAGGGCTCTAAAATGTTAGTAAGTTGGAATTATTTTGATTTCAAGGGTCCCCTAATGTTCGAAGAGTAAGAAATATGACCTGAATGTGTTTCCTATGAGACTTGTGTTATTTTCTGGTGATTTTACTGATAATAGATATTATTTTACCATTTGCCTTTGACTTAATATCACAGTGACTCGTCATCTATAGTTTAACAACATTTACTTACAAGATTGAACGTTTACTTACAACGTGAATGCTTTGTCTTCTAGAAAGTAAAATTGGATGCCTCTTTAATTACGAGTAACCTGTTTGAAGCCCTGTGGCACTGTGTTTAAGAGCTTAGGTTGCTCACCAAAAGGTCAGCAGTTCGAATCCACCAGCCACTCCTTGGAAACCCTATGGGGTAGTTCTACTTTGTCCTATAGGGTCGCTATGAGTTGGAATTCACTCGATGGCAGCCAGTCTGGTTTGGGCTTAACCTGTTCAGTTTGTTACCCTACTGTGAGGTGTGATGGTTAGACTTTGACATATGTATGACATAAAGTGGCCCAGATTGATAGTATATGGAAGACAGAAAGATCCATTACAACTTAATTTAGTGTGCATCTGTTTTGGTAATGTAAAAAGCAACCCATCTTTCCATTTTTACATAAAAATGACCGGATAAGCAGTGCATAGCTTTTTTGACATTATGTAGGAGATTAATAGTTAGAACATCTCTCACTTTAGCAGTCTGTCACATAAATTGGTTTATGTCCCACTTGCTGCATTCACAAGCCGGTATAATAATGGGCTTTGTGTTTTTGTTGTACGCTCATAGGAACTGTTTGACCTCTGAGTATTTCTCTCCTCTTTTTACAAAGGGGTTAATAACACGTGATAATAGTACCATATTTCATCCTTCAAAGATATACGTTTTTCCTCAGTTTAACATCTTGGGTACTGGGATGCATCCTGCAGCTCATGGCAGGCCGTGGTTTAATTGGAAGTTCTTTTCCGTTTTCAGTGGTGTGTAACATCCCGTGGTTTACAATCATTAGCATCTTAGGTTCACTGAAACCGGAATTAGTCTAAGGATCAAAATTTTAATTTTAAAAACTCAGTCCCCAGTGTTTTTTTTGTTTTTGTTTTTGTTTTTTTCTTTCTGGAATAGCATGGAGTTAGTTTTCTTCTCAATTGTAATAGCCTTTGAACAACAGCCAGGATATTGAAGAAATTACCTCTTTTTGATGTTTAATTTTCCGCACTGAGATTTGATTGTACGTAATTGGTTTGGATGTGCATTTTTTAAAATGAGCCAGCTCAATTTGATATTTTCATTTGTATTGATTCCCCTTTCCTGGCCTGTGGCAGGCAGTAATTAATAATAACATACGAAGGGATGGGTTTAGAAGACTTTGGAAAATTGTCTTGGCGCCAGTTTTTTTTTTCTTTTAATTGTGATAAAATATGTATAACAAAGTTTGCCACATTAACCATTTTTAAGTGTATAATTCAGTAATATTGGTTACATTCACAGTGTAATCTATTTCCAGAACTTCTCATCACCCAAACAGAAATTCTGAGCTAATTAATAATCCCCACCACTCCCTACCGCTGGAAACCTGTAATCTACTTTGTCTGTATGAATTTGCCTATTGTAGATATTTTACATAAGTGGGATCATGAAATATTTGTCCTTTTGTGTCTTGCTTATTTCACTTACCGTAATGTTTTCAAGGTTCATTCATGTTACAGCATGTATCAGAAACTCATTCCTTTTATGGCTGAGTAATATTCCATTGTATATGTATATACCACATTTTCTTTATCCATTCATCCGTTGATGGGTACTTGGGTTGTTTCCACCTTTTGACTGTTGTGAATAATGCTATGAACATGGGTGTACAAGTATCTGAGTCCCTGCTTCTAGTTCTTTTGGATGTACAGTCATGCTTTGTTTACCATCCATGATACACTCTGTGAAATAGGATGTTATGTGATTTGGACATTGTGCAAACACCATATTATATACTTAGCAAAGCTACATCCTGTTCTCTGCTCAGGATTTCTGAACTGTCTTATAATCTTATAGGACCACAGATGTATATTTGCATTGGTAAGGAAAACCTAAGTAACTTGTAAATATCGCAAGATTTAGTAAGTTTAAGAGAAGAAGATGAAAAAAAAGGACACTGTGGTTGGGGTGAGAGGGATGGGAAATTGGATTGAAAAGTTTAATTTAGTCAGTCACTTGCGTCTCTTTTACCATTTAGCAGGCAACCCACATCCTTCCCAGCTCCCTCCTCCCCAACCCCTTCTTCCTTTTCAGTGGTGGAACTCAGATCTGTGCTCAGTTTGACTTGTAAGGATTTGCATGAGACATCTCAGCAAACATCTCAAAAAACCCAGGGGTTTGGGCAGTGCCCGGGGTAAGCCAGCCGCTGCAAAGGTTTCATTTACATTTGCCTTTCAACACTATCTGGTGCAAATACTTCAAACTGCTGGGTCACACCAAGATTTTAAACTAATTACTTTAGTCTGTGGATCTAAACAGAACAGAGGAAAATTCTTTCCGGACACAAAATCTGTGGTTGTATTTCTGGTTAACCAAATGTGTGTTACTGTTATGAATTGAATTGTGTCCTCCAAAAATCTGTGGCAAGTTGGCTAGTCCATGATTCTTAGTATTCTGTGATTGTCCATCATTTTGTCATCTGATATGATTTTCCTATGTATTGTAAATCCTACGTCTGTGATGTTAATGAGGTGAGAATAGTGGTAGTTCTGTTAATGAGGCAGGACTCAATCTACAAGATTAGGTTGTGTCTTAAGTCTGTCTCTTTTGAGACATAAAAGAAGCCAGCAGAGAGACAAGGGGACCTCATACCACCAAGAAAGTAGTGGCAGGAGAAGAAGAGCGCATCCTTTGGACCCAGGGTCCCTGCACTGAGAAGCTTCTAGACCAGGGGAAGATTGATGACAAGGACCTTCTCCCTGAACCTACAGAGAGAGAAAGCTTACCCCTGGAGCTGGTACCCTAAATTTAGACTTCTAGTCTCCTAGACTGTAAGAGAATAAATTTATCTTTGTTAAAGCCATCCACACGTGGTATTTCTCTTATCACAGCACTAGATAACTAAGACAATTACGAATGAGAACATTTAAAAAGTTGAACCACAGATGTATATGTGGTAAGTTGTTGCCTGAGCAGATGTTATGCGACATATAACTGTATACCTAGGAGTGGAATTGCTAGGTCATATGATACTGGTGCCATTTTAAAGGCCTCCAGAAAGTAAAGACATGAGCACAAGAGCTGACTTGTCTGAGGTCTAAGATGGTGTCATTGTAAGTGTCAAGATGAAATTGTTGTGTGCCGTCGATCAATTCTGATTCATAGCAACCCTATATAATAGAATAGAACTGCCCCGTAGCATTTCCTAGGCTATAATCTTTATGGGAGCAGATCGCCAGGTCTTTTCTCCCATGGAGTGGCTGATGGGTTCAAACCGCTGACCTTCTCATTAGCGGCCTAGTGCTTAATCATTGTGCAACCAGGGCTTGCTAAGGTGTTAATTAGAACATGGAAATACTAAGTTATGACTCATTTAGGTTCAATTAAAACAGTAGACTGTTACTGATTTATGTTCTATGAAATGTATATAAGTTACCCTCATTTGGTATTCCTTGGTATCAATTTATTTAGTCCAAAGATAGACACTTTTAGAAATTTCACCGGGAAAATCTTTGTCTTCCCTGTCTGCAGAGATGGGGAATGTAAGTTTCTGTCATCGGGGGATGAGGCAGTCTCCTCTCGCCTCGTATCTTCTTGAGTCACTTGTTGATCGGGGAGCTTGGGGAGTTGTATTCAAATATGTGTGTGTCTAGGTATTTTATGTATCATTCAGACATGTAGATCGTAGTTTTTGAAGATTCTAGATTCTTTTGACAGGTTCTGTGACCAAAAAGAAATGAGACCCATGATGGGAGAGTCTGTGGCCTAGAGAACTGTGGCATTAGAAAAAAGCAAAGTAGCTGTTTTGTGCTTCTAGGAACATAAGCAAGACTCCTCCTTCGGCCCAACAAGTGTGAACACAGACCCTTGTGGGCTCCAGGCTTGTAGGACTGGCTTCCCATCCTTGACATATGTGTGAACCCTAGAATAGACACTTGGACCCGAGGAATCTAGAATCCTTTTCAATTCATTCGTGGGTTTTTC